AGTCTGACCTCGAACTCACAGTGATTAGCCTGCCTCTGCCTCCCCAGTGCTGGGACTTAAGGCATGCTCCACCAATGCCTGGCTGCTTTCTTTTATTGTGTGTGTGTGTGTGTGAATGTGGATTCATATGTGGATGGGTGTATGCCTTGTCATATATGTGGAGGTCAGAGGGTTCTTCTACTGTAGGTTCTGGGTATTGAACTCAGGTTGTTATGCCTATGTGGCAAGCATTTTATCCACTCACTGTCTCACAGGTCCTCTTCTACTAAGTTTTTCCTCGACAGAGTTTCACTATGTACCTAGCCAAGACTAGCCTGGGAGTAGCCATATAGACCAGGCTGACCTTGAATCCACAGAGATCTGCCTGACTGCCTCCTTGTCTCCTTAGGGCTGGGATTAAAGGTGTGCACTACCACACTCAGTTTTGTTTGTTTCAGATTTAGTCTTAAACCAGGTGGTGATAGTCATGTCTTTAATCCCAGCACTCCGGAGGCAGAGGCAGGTGGATCTCTGTAAGTTTGAGGCTAGCCTGGGTGGGCTATCAATGAGTTCCAGGACAGCCAGGGATACACAAAGGAACCATGTCCTGAAAAACAACAAAATTTATTTTTTTAATGCTGTGCATCTTTGTTTACACACACACACACACACACACACACACACACACACACACACACACCTACCTAGAAAGGCCTGAGGCATTGGATCCGTGGAGCCAGAGTTACGAGCAATTGGGAGACGCCTGAGGTGGGTGCTGGGAATTGAATTCAGTAATACAGGCTCTTAATCTGGAGAGATTGAGCCATCTCTCCAGACCCTCTTTCCTCTCTCTTAAAAAAAAAATTTATTTTGTATGCATAGGTGTTTTATGTGCCTGCATGTGAGGGTGTCAGGTCCCCTGGAAATGAAGTTACAGGCATCTGTGAGCTGCCATGTGGGTGCTGGGAATTGAACCCAGGTCCTTTGGAAGAGCAGCTAGTGTTGTTAACTGCGGAAGCATCTCTCCATTCCCTCCTCTTTTATGTTTAAAACAAAAGCATACTAAAAAAAAAAAAAAAAAAAAAAAAAAAAAAAAGCAGGCTCCCAGGTCACCACCAGGGCAAAGACCTGAGTTTGAATCCCCAGAGCTCACATAATGATAAACATCTGTAATCCCAATTGCTCCTACTTGAGGAATCAAAGTGAGACATAAGAATCCCAGAATTTGGGGGCCAGCCAGCAGGCCATGTGGATCAGTACACAGTAAAAACCCATCCTTAAATGGGTGGAGGACAAGGACCCACACCTGAAGTTATATTTTGACCTCCACATGTGGTGCACAAGTGTCCACACACACACACACACACACACACTTTTGAACACAGATCTGTCTGCCTCTGCCTCCCAAGTGCTGGAACCAAAGGCTTGTGCCACCACCACTGGCTAAAAAAAAAATATTTTAATCAGTGAAATTTTATTACATAAATATTCTCATTTTCTTTATTAGTGTTAGCAAACATGGGACCTGTTGGATGGCTTTTTTTGTTTGTTTGCTTTTTTGTTTTTGAAACAGGGTTTCTCTGTGTAACTTGCTCTGTATGTCGTGCTAACATGGAAGTCACAGAGTTCCTCCTGCCTTTGTCTCCTGAGTCCCAAGTGCTGGTATTAAGGGTGTGTGCCACCATGTCTGGCTTGTGAGTTTTCATTAATGTTTCTGCATTTAACAAATGTCAACTATTATTTGTTCATTGTAATCTAGAGAAGTCAAAAAGGTAAGACACTTCTTATTTATATACAATGACTTTAAAGTACAATACATTAAAGTCCAATTTAAAATATAAAAAGCAAACAGGCATCAAAGTGGTAAATGCCTTTCATAGCAGCACTTAGCCCCTTAGAAAGTTTAAGGCCAGCCTGTACTACCCAAGGCCCTTTCTGTGAACACTGGGGAACCCAGTGTGGTGATGCAGACCTTTGATCTCAATAGTTGGAGGCAGAGGCAGGAGAAGGTGAGTTCAGAGTCAGCCTGGTCTATATAATGAGTTCCAGGACAGCCAGAGCTACATACTGAGACCATATCTCAAGGGGTGGGATGGGGTATTCTTTTAGGGTCCCTCCCATCCTCAGAAGTTCTTTCCTTCCATTATTAAGTCTATTTTCATTATGTAAAAAAAAAAAAAACATAAAAAAATCTGGTAAGGAATATAGCACAGTGGTAATTCCTTGATGAGTAGTCACAGGCCCTAGATTCAATCCATCAAATAAATTAGTAAGTACAGTTCAAAGTTGTTTTTTTAGTATCTGAAGAAGTATGCAACTATTGCTTAATACTAGATTGTCATAATCCCCAAAAGATTCTTCATACCTCTCCCCCTCCTTTATAACCCTAATAGTCCACTCCAGTCTCCCCAAACCCCTTAGCATTGGGCAACCACTAATATGTTTTGTTTCTGTGGGCTGTGTTTGTGATCAAATTTAGTGCCTTATTAATTTTAGTCACTCTTCCTGAGGTAATACTGCTAGTCCCAAGCCTCATACCACCTGGCTTTCCCAGTTCATTCATGTTGTAACACATATCCAGTTTCCTTTTCAGTATTAGTATGGAAAATCAGAGTTTTACTATGTAGCCCAGGCTGGCAACCTTCTGTTGTACTAGCAGCTAGGGTTATAGACATATATTACCATACCCAGAGAATGACCTTACATTCCTGATTCTCCTCCCTCTGCCTCCACTTTTTGTGTTCTGGGATTATGGGTGGGTGGCACTGTGCCTGGCTAGGAATTGGAATTTTAAATAGTTTTAACAATGCATCCAAGAGGTGTTATTTTTTATTCTGTTTTTTTTTTTTTTTTTTTTTTTTTGTGTGTGTGTGTGTGTGTGTGTGTGTTTTGTTTTGAGACAGTGTAACCCTGGCTGTTCTGGAACTGGCTCTATAGACCAGGCTGGCTTCGAACTCAGAGTTCTGAGACTAGAAGCATGCACCACCATGCCCAGTTTATTTTTTCAAGGATATTCTTACTATGTAACCACTTACATCAGTTTCCTTGGTGCTGGGTTATACAGAAAAATACAGGAAGTTCAAGAAATAGACTGAAGGATCTAAGTCGAATGAATGGTATACTGTGCTATACAAATGAAATTATTCAAATTAGTGTTTGCATCCTGGAGACTTGGAAGTTAAGAAATTACTTATTTAGTGGGAAACAAATAAGAAAAAGGAAAGAGATGTGACTGGTCCTACTGTGGTGGAGGAGATTTATTATAGACAGGTGGGAGAGCACAGCCAGAGACAGAGACATCTGGAAGAGTCCAGAGTAGGCCTGACCTTGAGCCATGTGAGGGTAGTAGGGAAGGAGGAAAGAGAGGAGAGTCTGAACCAGGTGCAGCAGCCAGCAGGCCCAAAAGAAAGTAGATGTAAAGGACCAGGTAACCAAAATGGTTGGATTATATAGGCTGGAGAAACTGAGGGTAGGGGGTGGGGTGTTAGCCAGGAGGACCCTAGGTACAGGGGAGAACCTGGCCCTCCACATTAGTCTGATATGTTAACTGTGTAACTCAGCCATCTGTCCCAGGGTTGGAACCCAACTGAAAGGAAACTGAAATCTTGAAGTGCTTTCTCAAAACTACAAGAATCAGTCTAAGAGTCGGGATTCCAGTACTCGGGAGGTAGAGGCAGGCGGGTCTCTGTGAGTTCGAGGCCAGGCTGGTCTACAGAACTAGTTCCAGGACAGGCTCCAAATCTACACAGAGAAACCCTGTCTCGAAAAATCAAAACAAACGAACAAACAACCCCTCCCAACAAACAAAGCGATCAGACTTTTTTTTGTTATTGTTGTTGTCCTGTTTTTGTTTTTCCCAAGACAGGGTTTCTTTGTGAAACAGTCCTGGCTGTCCTGGAACTCACTTTGTGGACCCCAAACTCAGAGATCCCAAGTTCTGGGATTAAAGGCCTGTGCCACCACCACCACCGGGCCTGCTTTGTTGTTTTTGAGACATGGCCTTGATACGCATAGCCATGGTGGAGGGCTATGTAGACTAGATTAGCACTGAACTCTCAGCAGTCCTCCAGCCTGTCCTCCCAAGCGTCATGTCCTGTTATCCACCATGCTGTGATCTGTCAGCCATGCAGGTAGTGCTGGGAACCTGGAACTGGAGCAGAGAAAAACATAGCATTGCTTTTTCTCTGCTTGCTTTGAGACAAGGCCACGCGGGCAGCATTGGTTACCCTGGAACTCCACGTGTAGACCAGACTGGCCTTGAATTCACTGAGATCCACCTGCCGCTCGTGCACCACCAACCCGGGTCCAGCATTGTCGGCGTTGTTGTAAGAGGGCCGTGAAGGGTAAAATTCTGATAGCTCATCTTATCTCCTTGGTCTTTAGTGATTTAGAGAATGTCAAAGCAGGTTAACATTTTTGTTCTCAGTTCTGCTTCAGTCTCTCAAATTTAAAGAACACAGGCATCAAAATTTCCATGGCCAACTTCAAGTCTTCTGCCTCAACCTCCCAACTATCTGGCACTACAGGGCCAGTCTTCTCACATGGAGTTTGACTTCTTTTTAAAATTTATTTTTATTATTGCATTGATGTTTTGCCTGCATGTAGGCCTGTATGGGGGTGTTAGATATTGGGAGTTACAGTTGTTCGGTTGTTAGCGGGGAATTGAACCTGGGTCCTCTGCAAGAGCTGCCAGTGCTCTCAACTGCTGACGCACCTCTCCAGCCCCTGGAGTTTGATTTCTCGGGTTACATTAGACATGTCTTTTGGAAACCTCAATCCCATCGGGTTAACAAACAGGGAAGCTATGCAATTATCTTTATTTAGGATTTAGAATGGAAAGGCTTCTGTAAGGGCCGTAGGGACCAACACTAATCGGGGCTTAAACAAGATGGTGGATAGGTCTGGCTTTAGGAAACTACAGCATACACGAGAAGTTTAGCGAGGCCGAGGTGGTAGTAACCCGGCCACAAGAACGTGAGGGGGAGCCTCCCATGGAAAGCAGTCTCTTGGGCGCTTGAAGAGTTGAGACAGCGAATCGGAGACGAGCTGCCCACCTAACTGGGCAAGTTCTCTCAAACATGTTTGTGAACCGCTTCATCTCCAGTTAAAGCCGAGGTGGGGCGCCTGCTCAGACGCATGCGTCCTCGACGCGGCAAGCGGCACAGTGGCGTGGTCTTTTCAACACCCAGCGTATAGACGACGTCTGAGGTGGAAGGGGCGTTTAAGATTCCCAACGCGCATGCGTTGAGACCCAGGCGTTTCCTTCGGAGGGTGTGGAGTGCGGGCTTCTGTATTGCGCAGCTGCAAGGGCTGTCCGGTAGCGCGAGCTGTCGATCAACGGGAGGGAGAGGAGGTTGAAGGGATTAAAAAAAAAAAAAAAAAAAAGCCGGTGCGCCTGCGCATTGTCAACTGGTTAGAAGCGCTCCGGCTGGAAAGGGGCGGGGTCACGTACGCACGTCATTGGCTGGGTAGGTGGGAGAGAGGGTGGAGATCGGGGAGGGTCCATGCGCTTGCGCAGTGCGGGGGTGGAAGGTGGAGGAGCTACTTAGTACGCTTGCGCGGCTGTCATAGGGCTGCTTGGTTGGTCAGTGGGGAGTCGGCGCCTGCGTACTAAGACCCGTGTGCAGCAGCGGCGGCGGCGCTAGAGGCGGCGGCGGCGTCGGCAGCGGCAGCAGCAGCGGGTTCGGAGGCAGCGGTTGAGCTCGCGGCGAGCGGACGGGGTCGAGTCAGTGCGTTCGCGCGAGGTGAGAGCGGCCAGGGCGCGCCTGCGCGTAACCTCAGTTTGGGCCAGGGACGAGAGACGGAACTGCGCGGGGGTCGGGGAGGGGGGCCGAAGGGAGCGGCGGCTACCTCCGTACGGGTTCGGTCAGGGAGCGGCACGATGAGGGAGAGGCGGGCGCACGGCCCAGTTGGCGCGAGGGGTGACGGTTGGGGCCGGCCGGGTGACGTTGGAGCGACGCAGGGCGGGGGACGGCGAGCCGCGAGGCCGCCACGCGGGAGAGGCCGCCAGGCGGCCACGCCGGGGCGAGGGCCGGGGGCCAGGTCGGCCCGGCCAGGGCAAGGGTTCCTGGGCCGTTGAGGACCAGCGCTGAGCGGCCACGTGAGGTGGGGGAGGGGGCTGTTGGGTGAGGGCATGTGGAGAGGGTTGGCGGCCGGCGGGGGGAGGGGAGACGGCATGGCCCTGGCCTGGCGCAGCTTTGGGGCAGGGGCGGCCGCGGCACCGGAAGTGTTCCCCATTGGAGGCTGCCCTTAGGGTCCGAGACCATGAGGCCGAACGTGGACCGGGGCCGCATGGCAGCACGGGGACCCCTCCCCCCTGGCCCGGGCCACCGGAAGCCCCGGGCGACCACATGGTGGGCGCGAGCCGGCAACCCCCAGCGCAAGAGGTCCAATCTTTTTTGGGTTTCTACGGAGCCTGGGATTTTGGTGTGCGGGAGAGACCCTAGCCTCGGGTCTCAATCATCCCGCAGGGCCCGTTGCAGGCATATGTTAGTGCTCCCCAGCCTCATGGGCCTCTGGAGCTCATCCCTCAATCTTCATGTGAAGTGAGACGTCCAGCCAGATGTAAGTGGTACTTTTCTGGGGAAACCGGGAAAAGTGGGTAAAATGAGGGGCGCTGGAATGGAGCCCAACTCTTCTCGGCCAACAGCGCCTGAAAGTACTGAGCTTTTAGTTCCCCCGCGGTGATCTTCGATCTTCACCTTGCCACTGCCTTCCCTGTTGTGTTTGATTTGTGAGTTACTGTGTTTGAGTCCTTAATTCTACCAGTTTAGTATGATTTCTATTACTACTACCAACCTTTTGCTTTCATTTTATTGTCATTCACCACCCCTCACTCCCCCACTTTTTACTGACTGTACAGGCTGGGCCTGAAAAGCCGACAGGACTGGTGCATCCTGGGAAAAGTGGGAGGGCCATCGACAAAAGGCTGAGTTCCCTTCGGGAACTGAGATCGAGGTGTTCGGCAGTGGGATCATTTAGGAAACTACTTTCTCCCCTTGACTGCATCTGCAAGTGCATGTTGGAGAGGCGGGAATCCCCCCAAGTGGCCTTGTGGTTTCCTGTACCAATGACTGGCTTGTGTGTGGATGGGGGGGGTCTAACAGCTGGGTGGGGCCTTGTCCTCTGGTCTCCACCCCTTCATTAGCCCCGCCCTTCAGCTGGCTCATAGCTGCTCACCTAATTATAGTCCTGGCAGAGAGTGGGGAAGAGGGGGTGGTTGGTTTCAGTGGCAAGTAACACCTGAGTTCTACCCCCTCCCGGGAAGTAGCCCTTTCCTCATCGCTGGTATTTGGCATCCCAACTCCCAGGAGCCTTCCTTTCCCAAACCACAACTTTAGATTTCATTTGGGGGGGCGGAGATCCAGCTGTTTTTCCCCTTTCCCATACACCAGCTCTTCAGTATGTTTTTACTCCATTTTCAAAGCAGGAAGTTCAACTTTATTTAGGTGGGTAATGGAATAAAGGGGGAAATGGAGCAATGACTTTGAGAGAGGAGTGGGACAGGTTAGCGATCCTGTTAACCTCCATCCTTACTGACTGTAGTTCTCTTCTTGGCTTTAGTTGGAATCGAAGCCTCTTAAAATGGCAGATGATTTGGACTTCGAGACAGGAGATGCAGGGGCCTCAGCCACTTTTCCAATGCAGTGCTCAGCATTACGTAAGAATGGTTTTGTGGTGCTCAAAGGCCGGCCATGTAAGATCGTCGAGATGTCTACTTCGAAGACTGGCAAGCATGGCCATGCCAAGGTTAGAATCACCTCTCCATCTTGCCTTCTGACTCCCGCATCCATAGGGCTCTGGGCAGCGAACTGTTTCAGTCTTGCTCCCTTCTTGCTGGTCTAATCCTTTTTGTTCATCCAGAATTTACTCCCGTTGAAAACTGAGCAGTTTCTTACGCGGTGCACCTGTCATTTTCCCCTCTTTGTGCTAGTCTCTAGAACTGTATGTACAACCCCTTAGCTTTGGATAGTCAGTTTCTTAATCTTGACCTTCACTTCTAGATTTTATTCTGTGGGTCTGTTCAATATTTCTCCAGTCAAGGCCCATGGAAAAGGCAGCATTCTGGGGGGGGGACTCCGGTGTGTTCTCAAGTTGCTTTTAGCTGCTGCTGCTCCTCCCAGTTCTGGCTTTCAAATCCTTTGGCATTTACCTGCTTCTGATTACCCACTGAATTCTGTTCTTTGGCATAACATTCTCTTCATCAATACTTGCCCTATCTTTTTTCTCAGAATTCTAACCTGACTTATGGTTAAATCTGGTTTTTATTCCCTAATGATTATCCCTGTTTTGTTGACTTGGCATTTATAATTAGGCTATCCTCACAATGCTTGATTCCTTTTTGTTTTCCTTCCATGCTAACTGCATAGTTCATTTTCTGGTCTTCCCCTGCCTGGGCTATTTAATTCCGCTCTCTTATACTCCTTTGCTTTGATTTCTCAGCCTGTTCTACTTGTCTTTAGTTCCTTCTATAAATGTCCAAGGAGATTTTACCCCATACTTGAATTTCTGCCTCTACTTAACTAGTGCTGGGGTTATGATTGGTTTATTTGATACTAGGCATCAGACCCAAGGCCCTGTACTTGTTGGGTGAGCGCTGGATCAGCTCAGTGATATCCCCAGTCCTTGTCCATGATTTTTTTGGTAACTTTTGTGTAACTGACTTAGTAGTTTTTCCTTTGTCATCCCCAATCTCAGTAGTGGTCTTCTAGCTTCATGTCTTTCAGTTGGCTCATTTCTAATTTCTTAATCTTTGCTATAACATAGTAAGCCGACTTTTCGATAGCCAATTATATAAGCCTTTATCTCAATCTTAGAGATTGGTTTATTGGGTTTCTCTTCATCATGTATGTACACAGGTCCACCTGGTTGGTATCGACATTTTTACTGGGAAGAAATATGAAGATATCTGCCCATCAACTCATAATATGGATGTTCCCAACATTAAAAGGAATGATTTCCAGGTATATGCTTGAAATGAAGATGGTTAGTGACTCATGAAGGGGGTGGGATGTGTGTTGACCTGCAGCTATGGGGAAAGGGAGCTGGTAGGAGAGGATATTTAGTGAAGTTGCTGTCGTTCTAGTTTGACCGTCATTCTCTTTATACTTAACCTACCTGTACCTGCTTTTAACTTCCTTCTTCTCCCAGCTGATTGGCATCCAGGATGGGTACCTATCCCTGCTCCAGGACAGTGGGGAGGTACGAGAGGACCTTCGTCTGCCTGAGGGAGACCTTGGCAAGGAGATTGAGCAGAAGTATGACTGTGGAGAAGAGATCCTGGTATGATGCCCACCCCCCTCATCTGATATACTCAGCTTTGTTCCTCAAGATTCAAAACTCTTGAGTTAAGGCATCTCTGGATTGTCCTTTCTGCTTTTCCAGATCACGGTGCTGTCTGCCATGACAGAGGAGGCAGCTGTTGCAATCAAGGCCATGGCAAAATAACTGGCTCCCAGGTGGGTGTGACAGCCTTCACTATCCTTCATTCTGTTGTCCTCATCAGTTTATTGATTCTGAGCTCTTCCCCTAGACTGGCCCTTTCCCTCTCACCCTTGTTGTTGAAGTTATTGTCCTATCTTAAACATGATTTCTTTTTCTTGCTCAGGGTGGCGGTGGTGGCAGCAGTGATCCTTGAGCCTACAGAGGCCCCTCCCCCAGCTGGGTTCCACTTTGGCTGGGCCCTTGGCTGGACTCCTATACAATTTATTTGACGTTTTATTTTGGTTTTCCTCACCCCTTCAAACTGTCGGGGAGACCCTGCCCTTCATCTAGCTCCCTTGGCCAGGAGTGAGGGAGCCATGGCCTTGGTGAGGCTACCTGCCTCTTCCCTCACGGCCCTGGTGGGGGAAGGGAGTTGGGTATTGCTTGTGGTTTAGGTCCTCCACCTCCCCTTTTCTTTTTAATTCAATTTGGAATCAGAAAGCTGTGGATTCTGGCAAATGGTCTTGTGCCCTTTATCCCACTTATTCCTGGTCTGGTCCCCTGTTCTCCATAGTCCTTCACCTCCAAGCACCACTTGTACAGACTGGGGACCAGCCCCCTTCCCTGCCTGTGTCTCTTCCCCAAGCCCCTTTAGGGGTGGTGAAGAGGGGGAGGGGAGCAGCCACGATTCCTCCTCAGGCATCTGGGAGGGCCTTGCCCCCATGGGCTTCACCCTTTCCTGCGGCTCTCTCCCTGACACATTTGTTAAAAATCAAACCTGAATAAAACTACAAGTTTAATATGAAGCCCCCAACTCAGTTGTTTATTTGATTGAAAGATGATTTTAGAATCTGGAAATAAACAAGAAGACTGCTACTGTTGTTAGCCAATCCTTCATCCACTTGTAGCAAACAAACACTAGTCGGGTGTGGTAGTGATTGGGTACATTTTATTGGTTTGGGGCACATAGGAAGAACCCCTACCACGAGGGAGGCGTTAGTTGGAGTTATCTGATGGTTACTTGTGGTAGAATCGTGGGTTCTGGCTGTGTTGGATGAAAGGGAGTCGAGGGCCAGGTTGGCTGGTAGTGGCAAAGCCTGACTGGTGGTGATAAAAGAGTTTTATCAGTGGGTGGATAATTTCATTTTGCACAAGGAGGAAGGCCAACTGCAATAGGTTAATAGACTCCCTGGTAGTGTATGGGTTTTTGGTTACCAGCCTTACCTTGCCTGCTGCTTGCATCTGCACAGGGAGCTGTGGAGAAGCCAAGAGTCCAGGGGCTGGATGCAGAGCTTGGGGATGCATAGGCCGCAAAGAAGACTGTAAGGACAAAGCTGACCTTAGATATACTGGGGCTCCCCTTCTCCAAGCACATAGACTCCACCCAGAGCTCTACATACTATCTACTCACTGAGTCAGAGAAGCTAGTCTGCTGATTGGCATGTTCCATCTGCTTTTGCAAAGACAGGGCACCACCAGGCTGGAGGAACCCTAAGGGGAATAGTGTTTGAAGTGAGCAGGTAATGACAGGACTTTATGAAGCTAGGGCTCCTGCCCAGGCAGGGGATTATCACCTGTCTGAGTGGGCTGAAAGTGGCCATGCACTGCATAGGGTTGTGGCTGCGGCTGAGATAGGTACTGCACAGCAGGAAATGCTGACGGAGCTGAGAAAAATACGGGACATCCATTAGCCCTTGATGCTCTTGCTGTTCACCTGCTCTGAGGGGAACCAACACTCACCTCTGAGCTGCTGGCTTGGACTATACGCTGGCTGGGTAGGTCCATAGTGAGGTGGGGGCTGAGCAGTCCCATAA